AGAATCTTTCTGGCCCCTTCTAGCACATTGGTCTCCTGCATAGGTTTGAGGCAAACGTCCCACGGTGGGCGGGCAAGCACACGGGGCCTCTCTGTCTAAAGGGCTGGTGCCCAGGGGAGTGGGAGGATCCCAGGATGACCTTACAGGTGTCCTCACTCCCCCAGCACTTCTCCCCTGGGAATAGGCAGACGGCGCACAAGAACCTGCAGAGAGGTGTTTCTCAGCAGTAGAGTAGAAGTGAAAAGCAAGCTATTTTCATATATTGTGTGATCCTATCTTTATAAAACAACATAGACAGGACGTACTGATGTGAGAATATATACATACAAGGGGCGGCCATAGGCTAAGAGTCTAAGCAGTTTCACTTGGAATGTGTGGATGCTTTTCAAGCATATATGAAACTTCTATAAGTGGTAGATGAAACCATTCTGCATTTGAATGAGAGCTTTCCATTTGAAGAGAGCTCTGCATTTGAAGAGAGCTTTCCAGCAAGGGCAGTGGCTGCTCTGTTGCTAAGTGCCTGGGGGTTGGGGAGGGCCCTCGGCTGCAAGCTTCCTCCACCTCACCGTGTGTCCTCTTCTCTGCAGACTGCAATAAGGTCACTGACCAGTGCCTGTCCTTCTTCAAACGGTGTGGGAATATCTGTCATATTGACCTGAGGTACTGCAAGCAAGTTACCAAGGAAGGCTGTGAGCAGTTCATAGCCGAAATGTCTGTTAGTGTCCAGTTCGGGCAAGTGGAAGAAAAACTCCTGCAAAAACTGAGTTAGTCCATGGACAAGTATGTAAATATGGGGTGGGTGAGGGGAGGGGACGCGGCAGGGGAGGGTAAAAGACTTTACAAAAACTAGGGCTTTTATTTTCAATTTGGAACTTGGAACAACAGACCACAGAACGATTCCATTTTGCAAGTCTCGCTGAGGGAGAAGCCAGTCCGCCACCGTTTTGGGGTTGAGTGAGTCAGGCGCTTTCCTTTGGTCTTTCTGAATCAAAACTGCACTGCTTTCTGGACCGTCTCTAAGGCAGCCTTTATCAAGAAGACATTCCTGTCGGAGAGGAGGATGGACTTGGGAGAAATTCTCTTACTGGAAGCATGAGCTTAGGAATTTTTTTTTTTTGGTGGTGGTGTTTTTTGTTTTGGACACCTTATTCCTGGCAACTTTGGGGTTTTTGGTGTCAACATAAAATGGACCACACACCACAGCTGCCGTCTTGACATGTTTGTTTGTTTGGTTTTGTTACATCTTACATTATGCAGAACTATTTTTGTACAAATTGTTCAGAAGTTATTTATGCAAGGTTTGAATGCATACCAGTGTTTTTATTGTTTTGAGATTGCCAACTTTCCTGGTTTCCTTCAGGTAGGAGAGAACTTAACCTGTACGTCATACGACTCCATCTACACACGTGCCCAGATCTGGCAAAACAGGCTAAGACCTTCCAGTTAAAAGCATGTCTAACTGGAAGCTGAGAGCCTGCTTTGTATGTCAAGAAGTTACATAAGCATGTTGTGGATATGTGTAAATTATAGTCAAAGTGAGACACTTTGCTAAATTTCCTCTGTATAGAATTCACCTTTTTCTCAAAATTTTAAAATTCAGACTTCAGCCTTTGAACTCAGGAGGGGTTTGCTCCCGCATATGAGCTCTTGTACTCTACATAGATCTAATTTATACAGTGAGTCAAGAAGTTGAATAAATGATCCAACATAGCCTTTCTTTTCCTTTTTTCTCTCCTTTGAAGTGTGAGTTGAGTTCTCGTTTAAGGTTTATAACATGGCTGTTTCCTAGTTGTAAAGTTATGCATTCATAAGTGCCATTGTTGTAAGGTGGTGTTTTCCTAGACCTTCCCTGACGCGGTTTTACCTTTGTTGAATTTGTATAAACAATTGTACAAAAAAAAAAAACACTCTTGGACTTGGAGGGTTTCTGTTCTAGGGGTGGACTAGAAATTTGACTAGGAAGTCCAGAGGCAGTAGTCTCAACGCCAGTGTATATACTGTTTTGAAGCCAAACAAGGTATAATTTCTTACTCATCTGAGAAATGCGGCAGCCCCTTGGTACGTGTTTTTTCCGTCTTCAGAAAGAGATCTTGCTGTTTGTAGCTAATAAAGGTAACGGGAAAGAACTGTGCTACACCAGTGTCCATGTGTAAGAATTAGGTACGAACTGCCTTAAGGGGCAGGGTGGCTTACCTGTTTGGGTGCTGCTGACCACACCCGTATAAAATAACTTCCACAGCCACTTGGCATTTCCACTGCCAAAGGGGGACAGGGGTTCATTTCCTCAGCCTCCACTGGACGCAACTCAAGGAGGCCACATCCTGCACTGGTAACCTGGGGCTGGGGTGGTGGAGGCACCTGGTTAGGCGATAACTTCCCCAGGTGGCAGACATAGAAACCAGTGAGAAGTAGACTTTAGATCACAGGATTTTTATACTGGAACAACTGCTCTAGTCATCTGAAAATGAAGATAACCCAGCTTCCTTCCTCAGGCATCAACAGCAACATCAGACTTGGGACTCATGGGACTAGCCTTTCCTGCTGTGGTAGTTTCATACTGCCCCTGCCCCTCATCCTTTTTTTTTTTTGCCACGGTGAAATGGTTTTACATCTCATCTAGTTTGTGCCGCCGCCTATTAATTTAAATCCAGAGATACTTTCTGACTCAAATTGGAGACATCTGAAGCTGTTTCACCCCAGAATTTAACTCAGGAGATGCATTTAACAGAGGTTAAGATTAGTTTAACACTCTGTGGTTTATTTATAAAAACGTGGCTTACCTTTGCAAGCCTGATCATTCATCGTGGAGCACCCACACAAGAGGTCAAGTTGCAGTCGTCTTGGCGGCCTGAGTGCTGTGAGCCTCCGAGTAAGAGTCACCCTCATGTCCAATAAAGGCATCTTCTCCCTTGGGAACCGTTGAAGGAGGACGGTGGTTTTCAAGTGGAATCTCGGCATTAGAGGGCCCTCTTTCCCCTGTAATGTTTCCAGGAGCACACAGGTCAGCCAAGAGAGGAGGTGAAGGAAGGGCTGCCAGGGCTGAGCAGCCGGAGTTTCCATAAGGACACACCACAGAGTAAGGACAGCATCTCTCTAGGCTTGAGATGGCCAAGGCAGTGCACTGGTCACAGATGACCTTCCCCCAAGTGTACCGAACAATCCAGTTAAGATTATACCCCAGTACAGTCTCGACCAGACTCATTCCTTCAAAAATGAGCTTTAGATGAGGCCAGGCCAAGCTAGGTGCCTGCAAACAGCTGCTCTGAGCCCATACACTGTATCTGATGAAGTAATGGAAGGACCATAAACCAGAGGGACCACTTCTTGTAAGAGGATCATAACTTCTTAACCCAGGAAAGAGGAGAGGCCATAACCCTCCCTCCTCTAGGCATCCTGGCCTTTACAAAGGCAGGCACCACGGCCCATCCAAAACATGGAATGACATCCTTCCATCCTGTGAGGACAAGGACAAAGAGATGTCATTGCATTCCATTGTGAACTTCCAGAATTTTATCCATATGATAGATGACCTATTCAGAAAAAGATGCATGGCATGCAGCTAGAAAATGCAGATTCCAGGGAGGAATGTTTGCCCTCTGCCAGATAAGTTAGTCCCTTGCAATTCAGTTATTCCAAGTGTCGAGCCTATTAGGCTAAAAATTTGTTCGCTTCTCACTGAGCCAAGGTTATTTCAAAATGCTACTTAAGAAGATCCACCGTTGAGTTTTGTTCATTGCTGAAACAAGCACCTGAAACTATAAGTCCAAAAAGAAACAGTAAACAAGCTGTTCTGAGACTATGAGCAAATAAATCTCAATTTTCTAATTTAAGATACACCAACACCTGCTGCTCAGCTTCTATTTCAGTGTGTTTACCATCACCCACTGGCCTGGATTTGAAGACTTCTCTCCACCAAATTAGGGATTTGTGGGGAACGATGAACTTCTGGAGTTCAGCGTCTCAGGAGAAGTACAGACTAAGTGCTCCTAAGGCTTCAGCAGGGGCTGAGCTTTTACTGTCCATCTGAATTGCAGCTAATACCCACCCTGGGCTCTTCAGGCAAGCACAGGAGAAGGGTATTTAGAATATCCACAAGGCTTTGATTTACATGCTCTGACACTCAAAACCAGAAAACGTAGAAAGGCAACTTTTTTTTCACAGCTAGCCAAACTTTCTGCCTTAAGCACAGAGGGGCAAGACTGTTTACCTCCTTTGCTGTAAGTTTCAGGTCTTGTTGATTGACTTCTGGATCCTGAGCACCTGAAGGCATGTGTTAAACACTGCAGAGTCAAAAGATAAAAAACCCACAGGACTCAGCCAAGAAGTTACGTAGTTTCCTAAAAACATACCTGCCCACAAGCCATGGGAATGAATCCGCAGTTGGTCTCAACTAAACCAAAAAACCACCCTGATTAGAGCTGGACCTAAAAGAAAAGAGATTTCAGATCATTAATGTCCCAAGAACCTTTTAGCATAAGCTAATGTCTCAGGTTTCTCAGTTGTGGTATTAGAAGAGGTAAGAAAAAAACACTGTCATCAGAGCTAGGTTCAGATTCTGATGTGGTGACTTTTTTTTTTTGGCTGCCCCACATGGCTTATGGGATCTCAGTTCCCTGACCAGGGATTGAACCAGTGCCCTCAGCAGTGAGAGCGTAGAGTCCTAACCACTGGACCGCCAGGGAATTCCCTATGGTGACTTTTTAACTGTGAGATTTTCGACAAGTTCTTTAACTTCTCAGAGATCAAGTTCCCCATCTGTGATGTGAGGCAATATCTATTTCAGAATGCTGGAGGTAACCATAAAGCACCTGGCACAATACCTGGTCACAGTATGTGGCAAATATGTAGTTAAATTTACTGGTACATTAGCAGCCAAGGTAGACAGGTACAACATCTTTGAAGGTGCTCCTTTCTCTCATGAAGAATGTACTAGACCAGGCCTGGACACCCATTCATGCTGCACCGAAGTGAATTAGGAACTGGCCAGGACAAATGTAAACAAAAGCATTTTTTAAAACCTAATTTTATTCCTAAAGTTCAAACTAGCTAGTGGGTAGCACTGAAAATACACTTGCAATATATAAAAGTGTAAACTGATTACACGTTAATAAAGAATTTAACACACACACTTCTCTAATGAAGGAAGCTAGATGCAGCCCTCGCTATAAAAAGCTGTACCTGAACAAAAATGGACATGTTTAGTCTCAGGCCCTGGTAGTTGACTATAGAATGTCAGTTGTTCCCAATTACGTTTAAACGCAGAAATAGCAACAATGTGGAAAATTACATTCATCAAATAGTAGCATTTAAAATATACATGACTAATAAAATGAACATTCAGAAGTGCCCCTGTTCAGCGTGTACCATGTCGGCCATTTGCAGACAGTGACCTCATCCAAAGAGAGCAGAAGTTTCAAACATCTGAGTAGTTTAAGTTAAAAATAGGATGAAGGAGAAATAAGAGAACAAGATAAATGTCCTCCAAAGAGAACAGTAGCTGATGCCATAAGCAGTCTGACTTCGGCAATTAGTAATCAGAGATGTGTGAAGAAGCCCAGCAGAAACTGGGAAACTGAGCCAGTCCTCCAGCTGACAGGCATACAGCATGGACCAGTGTTGCTGCAACTTAGGATGAATCTTTCCTGTCCCCAGTTAGTCGTGAAAATAATTTTTAAAAATAGCTTCAGATTTTGAACAGGAAGTTTCCAGTCCCTTCTGTGCACTGAAACGTCTGGGATCGAGCCTGGGGGGTCCTCGGCTTCAGGACTTGAAGACGTGCACGGCGCGCACCACGTACTGCCGGCAGATGGGACACTCGCTCATGCGCTTGCCGCACTTGGTGCAGGTGACCATGTGCCCGCACTCGAGCAGGACGCAGTCGATGATGGCGTCCATGCAGATCCGGCACAGGCTGTCGTCTTCCTCATCCTGCAGCTGCAGCCGCTCGCCATCTGAAAGGCAACAGAGAGCTGGGGCTGCGGGCACAGCCTCTGAGTGACCCAGAGTGACCCCACTGTAAGAGAAACAGTCCCTGCTTCTTGGCACATCGGTTCCTTCCACTAGAAATGGCAATAATTACACCTCATAGGATTTTGTGAAGAATAAATGAGAAATACTTACTTAGCTTAGGACCAGGGATGAAGTGCCTAACACATGTTAGCTATTTAATTCTTTTTTCCCGCCCCCGCCCCTATTTAATTCTATTTTACATCTGCATATAATACAAGGTTTTTGTGATAACTTGCTTCTATAAATAAAAATGAAGAAGCCCTAGGCTGTCCTACACATGGGCCTCAGAGTCAGAACACAATTCGAATTTCCAGCCCAACTGTGTGGCCTTGGGAAAGTCACAGGCTCCAGAGCCTCATCCTAGTAGGAGGAGGAGCTTTATTTCTACACCAACGGGAAGGCTGTAGAGTCATACATCAAGTAGCCTGTAGTTGAGGGACGGCACCCCCTGAGCCTTGGAAGCATCTCAAAATTCATCTGTGTTTCTGGCTACGATGGTACTGTTGGGAGTCTGTCTAACTCAAAAGGCATGGGACATTCTGGTTCTGAATAAGAAAGGTTCAGAATGAGTTTAAAAAGTTCATTGCAGCCTGAGATTTGGCCATAGAGCTATGGACAGTGAGGCTTCCCTTTGTATAGGTCACATAAGGGATTAATGGGAATCATGAAGAAGGTTAGAAAGAACCAAGCAGGAATTCAAGCTTGAAAAGCGAATAGTCCCTGAATTTAAGGAAATAAACACTGTTGTGTCAAGAGAATCTTCTCATCTGGGGTCCTAGTTCATGGTCCATACCATTACTGGAAAGTGGGGAGAAAGGATCCATGAATAAGATAACAGATGAGCCTCTGTAGGCTCCAATGATTAAGATGCCTGTATCTGCTACTGTTGCATCATCTTTGAAGTAGGTGTAGGACTTCCCTGGTGGCACAGTGGTTAAGAATCCACCTGCCAATGCAGGGGACACGGGTTTGAGCCCTGGTCCAGGAAGATCCCACATGCCTCGGAGCAACTAAGCCCCTGTGCCGCAACTACTGAGCCTGTGCTCTAGAACCCACGAGCCACAACTACTGAAGCCCACGTACCTAGAGCCCGTGCTCCGCAACGAGAAGCCACCACGGTGAGAAGCCCGCACACCGCAACGAAGAGTAGCCCCCGCTCTCCACAACTAGAGAAAGCCCATGCACAGCAACAAAGACCCAACGCGGCCAAAAATAAATAAATATATTGAAAAAAGAAAAGAAATAGGTGTGCCAAAATACTATCTGCATATTCTGGGCATAAACCTGTTTATCAACAAATGCTGTATTATAACCAGGTTTTAAAGAAAAAAACTCAAGATGACACACGTTAATGATGGGAGGACTGTTTTCTAGATAAGAACATAATATTTGTCAGTCTGAACACCACTGAATTCTTTTTTCTTGCCTATAAATGCTCTGTGGCTTGGCCCTGTTACCAGCTGAGGATTTCTGCTCCATGCTCCATCAATAAATAGTTCAGAAGTTCTTAACCTTAGCTTTTCGTGACTTACAAAGAAACCTACTGATACTTGATGTTAAGAACTACTTAACATCCTGGCTCTAGGGAATTTTTTCCCCCCACTGTTTGATTATCTCAATTGTAGCTTTTAAATCCTCAGTACTGGCCTGCCAGACAGGTTAGTGAGAAAACAAGCCTTTCTTAGATACAAGGAATTTCATTAGAGTTCTAACAAATTATGACCAGAAAAACCAGACTGAACAAAAGATTATCTAACTCATCGGCAATGGTGATCTCAAAGCCAACATCACATAATGAACTTACTGCTTAACAGATCTATAAACAGGTTTATATAACTAATTCACACTCAATAAAAGGATACATAGGTTTCTCAAAAATAAAGTGGACTTAACTGACAGAAACAGGCCAGTTTTTAAAGGCCTAAAGAAAGCTACTACAGGGAAACAAAGGAAAAATAAACCTACATGACTTTTGATTTTCTTCATTCTCTTTGTATAACCGGTTTACTTTCTCTACTAGCTCCCATTTTTCACAACAGCCAGAATAGTTGACAAAATTCCGAGCCAGGATTTCCTTGAGCTGGCGCACGCTCATCCCTTCCACGTCTTCAAGGCTTGACAGGTCAGACAGAGAAGCTCTCACTCTCTTCTTAGCGAGGCCAGATGTCTGAAATCACAGAGTGTGTCCATTACCTCTGTTCCTGCAAATCCAGCAAGGAAAACAGCATGCTGCCTTCACCCTACAGTCATCACTGGCCCTGGAGATTCTCCCCAGACTTCTCACCAGTTCTTGAAGTGTTTTATGTATTGTGCTGCATTCAAACCAAAAGAAACGTCCTGTGCCAATCTAGCGACAGTCCACATGGGCATTTTCCCTGCCTACCAAGGTGACGTGTCAGGGAAACCAAATTTTATAGGCAGTCTCACCCGCTCCTCCAAGTTTTCTTCATCCTCGTCATCATCGTCGTCGTCGTCGTCATCTTCATCATCATCTGTGTTTGCTGAAGCTATTTCACTTCGCACCTACACACATAATACATATTAGGTCAGGAATCATTTTCCTAATGGTACCAACCCATATTTATCACTGGAGAAAACCCTTCCAATAGATCCTCCCCAAGAATGACTCTTAATACCTGGCATACTCCACACCTTCCTAGGATCCTGAGTGCTGCTGCCCCTCCCAAAGAGTTGGGCACCACATGATTCGATAAACAATTTACCTTCCATAGTTATCTCAAAAGTCAAATTCCTATGTGCGTGTGAATTTTTAAAATCTAACCATAGTATTAACTCCCCAAGAAGTTAAGAAGGTCCCATCACAGAATGTCAAAGCCAAAAGCGTATGGAATTGCACTGTGTCCTTAGCAAAGGACCTGCAGCTGGCTGGTTTAACTGGAGCCTCTAAGATACAGGTAGAAACTAAAGCTCTAAGATCAGCCCTAGTGTCAAGGGTATTTGATTTCAAAGATCTCAATCCTACTACCTCATGCTTAGACATTCTAATTCCAAACAATGCTTTCTAGACTAATTCACTGATGGTTGATGCTATTTCTAGTTTTCAGAAACTCCTCAACAATCAGATACTCTTTTCTTTAAGGAGAACAGAAAGCCTAGGACAATGCCCAATTTCAAGTATTCTACCCCACTAGTTCACAAACACTATATTGTATCATCCAAAGACCCACATCTCCCAAGTGGTGTCATATACCCAAAAGTGACACAAAAGTCAGATGTGTCTTACCTTTGCATCATAATTATGCCAGCTGCCATTTGGGAAAATAATAAAACTCCTAGCTTGGGCTTATCTAATTGATGACTCTTTAGAAAGCAACTAGACCACATTTCCCTCTGCTTCTAACCTCTTTCCTCAGAGGAGAAAATTAAATGTGGAAATGAATGTTCAAAACAATTCTTTCAGCATTTTAGAATCATTCATCTATACAAATTGAGTATTAATTACAAGACTTTGCATGTTATTCAATTAGTATGCCCAAGGACCTCACTGGGACAACATTCTGCACTGGCATTTCTTTGAAATGAGTAAATAACCATATCCTGTCACTAATTCAGATGGCTGTTTCCCAATATCTAAATTAGAACAATTTTACGGTAGCAAGGCAACTGGGCATTAGGTTAACTTATAGTTTCCATGGTCACTGACACACAAATAGTCCTGCAAATGTTTATATTCTACATTTGACAGTCATTATTTCGACAGCTAGTATTTAACTATATAAGATAGGGAAACTGAGGTAACTAAGGTCAAGAGACTGATGAGCTCTTTTTGGGCCCTTCAGGCAGCATCTGAGCTTGGAGCCTCACATCAGGAGAGCCTGCAAGTGCAGAGTTCAGCAGCACGTGGAACCCCGGCTCAGCAAGGAGTCTTCAGCCCTAAAGCCCCCTCCATATTGGCCGAAAGCAGACGACATGCCAGGCCCTCAGGGTAATTACACCCTCGTACCTGTGCCAGTACTCCAGATCCTAAGGTCCGGTCTCCACCCATAAGCTCTCCCTGAAAGGAAGACATGGTAGCAGATGGGGCTGTATAGTTTGAAAAAAATGAATGTGTAAAAAAGCTAGAAGTCTGGGACCTTGAGGAATTCAGACTGCTCGTGTCCAGGTTGTCCTCAGAGCCCAGCCCACGGTGACACAGTACCAGATCTACCAAGTCTTCTTTCTCTCGACAGGTATCGATCGGTATGTTTCTAAGAATGAGATACTGCCGTAGATCCTTCACTTTCAGTCTCATTAACTGAGGGCGCTGAAAGGCTGTCTCTTGTAATAAGTGACAAGTGGAACATCTACGGAGATTTTCTTGTAAGATCGAACAAACGGAGCAAAAGTCTTTCTTGCAGTCACAACATACATGCTGAAGAAACAGATAGGAAAGAAGCATTTAATGAGAGCCAGATACAAGCCATTGTGAAAGCACTAGTTTTCCTTTTGCCTTCTCTTAAAATTAAATTTTAATTCTTATGAAGTCCCCCATGGCACCAGACCCATGGGCGTTTTCGTGTTCTAAAAGTGGTGAAAATCAAAACAGTCACTGCTGAGGCAGTTTGGATTCACAGAAGTTCAAATACAGACCTTTAAGAAAAACATACTCTTGCCTTAATGAATTAAAACCTTTCCACCCCTTCAGGCAAACGTAATTAGCAAAACAGAGCTGACTTGAACCACATGGAGCAGAAAGCATGACCACAAACTCTTTTCCTGTTCTTTGCCTATGTGAAAATTTCCCTATTTAAAGAGAAGGGGGACTGCAGGCTTCCCTAGTGGCGCAGTGGTTAACAATCGGCCTGCCAGTGCAGGGGACATGGGTTTGAGCCCTGGTCCGGGAGGATCCCACATGACATGAAGCAACTAAGCCCGTGTGCCACAACTACTGAGCCTGCGCTCTAGAGCCCACGAGCCACAGCTACTGAAGCCTGCACACCTAGAACCTGTGCTCTGCAACAAGAGAAGCCACTGCAATGAGAAGCCCGCGCACCACAACAACAGCGGCCCCCACTCGCCACAAGTAGAGAAAGTCCACGCGCAGCAATGAAGACCCAATGCCACCAAAAATTAAAAAAAAAAAAAAAAGAGAGAAGGGGGAAAAGCCTAACACAGAGAGGGAAAGAGAAAGGAAACTGATCTCTCAAGGTCAATCCAAGCAAACAGAGGACCCCACTTACACAGTAATCTGTACCCTAGAGCCTTAATCACAATCAAAGCCATTCCACAAGCAAAACGTAAAAGAAGACATGATGATGTGGTCATTTCTGCTTGGGGCATTGTTCCCACAAGCTAACACCTTGTTAAGTATTTCAAAGGACTGGATTGACAAGCCTGGGAGATGGCCCAGCAATATGATGGTTCTCAGAAAGAACAACTTTCTGTCCTAAAGAAAATAACGGTTTTAGCTGTTATTTTGCATGTTGAATCTTTAAACAGTAGCTAATGTTAAAATACTCATTTCTTCACTTGAGTTAATGTGGGTGGGGATACATTTTTTGAAACTTGAGATCAAAGTTATAGTATATCTTCTCTGAACAAAATTGCAGACTAATTAAATCTCTTGCTTCAGAACATAAGAATCAAAGTGTATGAACAGGTCAGAGTCCAGGAGAAAGAATGGCTGAGCAACATGAGAAGTAACAATGTCTAGTCAGAAAACCTGAGCAGTGATAGAGTCTCTGCAACTCAGCACTTTTCTAAATGGGAAATGGTTATTAGGACTTTTTGATATTTGTATAAGAAGAAATGAATATTCATTAGTATTCAAAATAACATACAATCAAGAATTCTGATACATGTGTTTTTTTGTGTGTAACATTTCATCCAACTCACCTTCTTTCTAAAGACTGAAAATGAAAGTCCACAGGCTTTGCAAACTATATTAGGCCCTTCTGTAGGTGCTGGTGGGTAAGTGGTAAAATCAGAGCTCGGTGTAAATCTGAATGGACCAGTGCCTCCTGCAAATCCTGACTGTTGGCCCCTGACAGCTCCAGTCCCCATGACTTCATTCAGCAGCCCACAGCACGAAGCCCACATAGACGTGGCACCCGCCTGGAAAGGAACGAAAATAGGCACCAGTTTAAAGCTGATTGGAACCTGGGCTCTCTGGGATTCTCGGGGAATGCCATTCTGGAGAGGCACGTTTGCCCTAAATAATTTCGAAATTATTCTTTTAAGCATCAAAATTTTAAGCTATTGGGAAGTGGATAATATTCTGGTATTTACAAAGAATATTTGGCTTTGGGGATACTCATGATATATTGTTAACAAAGGAGAAGATACAATATGAACCCAATTTCGTAAAACAACAACAAAAAACACATATGCTTAGAGATACACGTGCATGCACACAGAAGAAAAATGACTAGATGGAAGTAAGTGCTGTGCAATATTTGGGATATGCTTACACCAAAAAAAGCTGTTCACTGTTTATCTGAAATTCAAATTTAACTGAGTGTCTTGTATTCTATCTGGCAACCTAAGACTGGTGACTACAGCACCGTTCTATAGGCTGAGGCAGATTTTCCCAGCTATCATTTAGCAGAAAGAATATAAATTCTAATTACTTAATTTCATTAAACTTCTGTCCTCTCATTTGTATCTGGGCATAATAAACTATGGCATGTGAAAACTTTTTTAATTTTTTAAAAATGACTGGGAAAACATCAAAATGCCAATTGAAGTGCTCTCTAGGTTTTCATGTATATCTCGTATAATTTGTTTTCCCCTGCTTTCCAAACCTTTATAAGGAATATATTAATTTAACATTAAGGAAAATATTTTAAAAAAGCAAACTGAGAATACTGAACAGAATTTCTGATGACTTGATAATCATAATGACGTTTTGAGGTGTAAGAGCTATTTGCCACTCCACTAAGTGGCTTGAAACTAATAGGCTGCCTTTTATGTTTTTTCCTCTCATCTCTTCCCTTTCTGTGAATCACCACTGCTATCACTATATCTACCTCTAGCAACCTGTCTCTCCTTTTTTACTGCATTCAGAAACCTGATAACCAAGCTTGTTAGAAGTGTATATAAAAATACATTTTCAGTGAGGGCTCAAGGCATTTTCCTATGCTTAAAATATAAAGCTACACTGTTTGGAACCAATGAGCTTTTGCCCCTTGTCCTACTACTTATGCATATTCTAGACTCTAGATAATGTGATAAGTAATAGAAGTCCAGGTAGGTGAGGTCTTATTAGTTAAAAGGGCATAACAAAGGCACTGTTCCATTTATTTTATTATCTAATTCTGTCAAACATTTACTGCTTGTCCAATGAGCTCTTAAAAAAATTTTTTTTTAAACAACCTTAAAAAGCTATTTGGAAGGACTTCCCTGGCGGTCCAGTGGTTGAGACTTCCCCTTCCAGTGTCGGGGGTGCGGGTTAGATTCATGGCTGGGGAGCTGGGATCCCACATGCTTTGTGGCCAAGGGACCAAGGCATGAAGCAGGGGCAATGTTGTAGCAAATTCAGTACAGACTTTGGCGATGGTCCACATCAAAAAAAATAGTAATAATGGGACTTCCCCGGCGGCGCAGTGGCTAAGAATCCGCCTGCCAATGCAGGGGACACGGGTTCGAGCCGTGGTTCAGGAAGATACCACATTCCGCGGAGCAACTAAGCCTGTGCGCCACAACTACTGAGCCTGGGCCCTAGAGCCCGTGCGCCACAACTACTGAGCCTGCGCTCTAGAGCTGGCGCGCCACAACTACTGAAGCCCGCGCGCCTAGAGCCCATGCTCCACAACAAGAGAAGCCACGGCAATGAGAAGCCCACGTACCGCAACAGAGTAGCCCCCGCTCGCCGCAACTAGAGAGAGCCCGCGCACAGAAATGAAGACCCAACGCAGCCAAAAATAAATAAATAAATAAAAGAAAAAGAAAAAGAAAAAAAAGAATCTGCCTGCCAATGCAGGGGACACGGGTTCGAGCCCTGGTCCGGGAAGATCTCGCGTGCCGCGGAGCAACTAAGCCCGTGTGCCACAACTACGGAGCCTGCGCTCTAGAGCCCGCGAGCCACAACTACTGAAGCCTGTGCACTTACAGCCCGTGCTCTACAACAAGAGAAGCCACCACAATGAGAAGCCTGCGCACCTCAACGAAGAGTAGCCTCTGCTCACCACAACTAGAGAAAGACCACGTGCAGCAACGGAGACCCAACACACCCGGAAAAAAAAAAAAAGAAAGAAAGAAAGACAGTGGTTGGACTCACCGGGAGAGCCTTAAAAAATACTGGTGCCTGAGTCCCAGCCCCAAGATTCTGATTTAACAGGTCTGGGGTACAACCTGGGCCTCAGAATTTTTTTTAATTCCCTATGTGATGTGAATGTACAGTCAAGGTTAAAAGGTTAACACCTGCTCGGTCAAGGGGATTTCTCCTTTCTGCCTACATCATTTCAGCTGGAGAATCACTCAGATTCCCAAATGGAAGGGGCTGTGGTTACTTCTGAAGCCTGTGCCTCTAGAGTTCTAGGACCAACATCTCTGCCACGTGCTCCTCACTACCTGTGTAGGTACCGCCCCTTCACACCCCCATCCCCAAGTAGTGGGATTTGCCTCTAGTGTTTCCTTTCCCCCTCTGGTTTCCCCTAATCCTTTCAGAAAGGATTAGCTCAGAAGGCCTCAGCTGAGTTTTTAACAATTTAATCTGATTCTTAAATCAGTTCCTTTCCTTTTTAAAAAAAAAATTTTTTTTTTTTTAAATGTTTTTGGCTGCACCACACGCGCATGTTTTAGTTCCCCGACCAGGGATCGAACCTTCCTGCAGTGGAAGCTCAGAGTCTTAACCATTAGACCGCCAGGGAAGTCGCCAATCAGTTCCTTTCCTTTACCACATATCAGCCTGGAAGTTAAGCTGAAATTTGGTGCCCTCCTTCATTTTACTTGCTCTTTGCTTTTGGCCCAGATTTCTTACTTCCTAACTTATTCCTCTACATATTTTCTTGGGTGAACTCTCCAATACTGGGAGAAAGACAGTGATTTCTGGGTCTGTCAAAAAGCCATTTGGCAAACTATTTTTGTCCTTCTTCACCCCAAGTTGAAGAATCCACCCAGAAGATGAATCTTCCAAACTTAGGGTCCATCTCCCCACCTCCAGTTAGTATGTTTCATCTTCTTGTACTTTCCCTTAAAGTCCTAATTGCCTGAATTTCTTCTGCGTTTCCCCTCAGGGCACAGGGATCCCTATTTAAGGACTATTACCTTGCCCTAATAATGCTTGGAGTGTCCTATACTGACCTTTCTCCTCTCAAATCTGTCCAAATTTCTGTTAATACTTGATATAACAGTCCCATTTTTCAAGTGACAGAATCTACAAAAGCAATTAGGGAACAATTTAAGAGAGCGTTTTCCCAACAGTTTATTGAACGTGTGCTCTTGGGAAAGGGGCGGGGAGGCGAACATGAATTTATTCTCTGAGCTCTTGACTCTCTGTCTTTGTTATATTTCCTTAGAGCCCAGTTACCGTACCTGGTAGGGTCATAAACAAAAAGCTTCCCCTTTTTGCACCCTCCCCTTAAAAGCTTTAGAGACCCAAGTTCATGTACTCTCTACTTCCGTCGTCCCTATCCTCTAAGATCTTCCGCCAGTTTAATCAGCCTGCATTCCGTTATTTTTCTTTTATTCACACTCTGCTTACCTTTTGATAGTAAGATTGAAGCGTATTTTCCGAACTACTACCTTTCCACGAATAAAGCCAAAGTCTGGATCTCTGCTATGATCTGGGCTTATGTGACTAACAATTCTAAACCCTACTTGGGACCATGGTTGACAGCAGGACTCTACAGACTAAACCACATGAATCCAAGAGGTGAGAAGGATGGTTACATTTCCTCTCTTGACCATGAATATGGACCATCAAAAACAACATAGAGAATAACCGAATAAGGCAACCATCTACTTATGTCTGATACAAAACTCCTAGTTTAGAGAATTTAGCTGTGTTTCTAGTTGACTTTCTAGCCATCAATGACTACTGAAAATAAATGACTTTTTCTTGATAAACCTAATCCCTTTCCTAAACATCCTGTTAGACTAAAATTGCTCCTGAGTAGATTAGCCATGGAACCATGGCCTGCCAGGCATCAATTAAGAACCAGATCTCATATTAAAAACTTACATGGCCCACAGTAAGAAATTAAATTGTAAAGCCTCCTGTTTGGACTGCCCCAGACACCTAGATCTCTTCATGTTATTCTAGTATCCAATGCCAGTTCTCATGTTTTCAAAGACAGTGCACCAAGATTTTAGGGAGCCAGTAACACTACATTTTTTTCTCACTCCCATTTTGAAACTGAGTAAAGAAATAAGACAAACAGAAATTTAAATATTTGCTTTTTTACTGGTAACACCAATTGGAGAACATGACTTTAGCTCTGCAGCCAACTGGTCTTGATAACATGCCAGCCAGCCACCAGCACAGCTGACCAACAGCAGCTTACCATCTAGTTGACCAGAGTCCCTTCCCTACCCACAGGAAGATAAATCTGAGAAGGTCTCAGAAAAGTACTGAAGCAAGCATGTTCAGCTCCTTTGCTAAAATCACCAACATAAAAGTTCGTCTTGTTCCTTCCTAAAGAATGAATTAGAAATTCCCTCCCCTCTGTAGGAGTACAGAGGAGGGGAGGAGACTGTGATCCACAACTGTAAACACTTTGCAGGAGAGTGGGACTGACAGTTTCCAGTGCTGTGACACTTATTTCCACAATAGCACCACCACCAATTTTTTAAGCACTCTCTTGGGTTCCTCAGTCAGATTCACACAATACAGGCCCATTCTGAATCATCATTTCAGTCAACAAAAGCAAGAGGGAATGTGTTCTTTCTTTGCAAGAGCAGTAGCCCAGCCTTCTTTTTGGCAGAGTGCCAGTTTTCAAATGGCTCAAGGTTCAGCTGTCTTTGATTGTGCGTGTGCGTGTCTGTGTGAGATCTAATGTGCTTTCTAGAATATCTGGGGGTTGGGGCGGGGAGACGTCCAAAATGCTCAACTTACAGAATTAACAAGTTTACTACAAACTTTGAATCCTATTCTAAACTACATCAGGATGTGATCCCTTTTAATTATTCCACCAAATGTAATAGTAGCCAGGCAAACTAGAATGAAGACCAAGAAAAGCTGTAGTGATTTCCATGAAGATTAAATGACAGCCAGAGGGAGAGAGAGAGAGAGAGAGAGAGAGAGAGAGAGAGAGAGAGAGAAGGGGGAGTGGGGAAGTTGATGGGTTTGAAAACAGCAAAAAACTAAATGATCATAGTCTAAATCATTTGCTTTTGATTAAACTAGGTAAACAGCAGTAATCATAATGCCACCTCCTAAGAGTTGCTTGCCTCAACTCTAAATTAAATATGGTAATATTTTACACAGTTATTTTAAGGATAAACCTAGAAGTTTCAATTTCAAGAACATTAATTTTCTTGGATGCTGTAAGAAGCTACAAGGACCAGGCAGGGATTCAGTTCTTCCACCAGTGGAAGCTTCTTCAGAGAACTCAATCACCACAAGCTTTGTCTTTAAACTCTGAACAACCTTCAGTTTGCTAAAACTCAATGTCCTTATGTTAAACAATATGAAAAGATGTTTCAAATCTCAGTACCAGTGATATAAGAGAGTAAGTTTTACAGTTTAAATTTCAATTAGGTTAAACTTCCCTACAGAAATTAAAGTAAACCAGAAGAAACCATTAAGATAATAAGCAAAAATCTTTACTCTATTTAGAGCCACTGGAGGAACAGTTCCTTAAAAAGGGAAAGAATTTCTTACTGAAACTGCTGCTTCAACTGAAATACAATACACCAGGAACTCTGCGATCTTAATGATTAAATATCAGGCTATATACCACAAAGGAGGAAATTCTACATCCTAAGTTCTTTCTCTCATACCATTTGGACATTAAGCAGGATGCAAAAACAAATGCTGATCTTAAAAATGTAATATTTTTAGGTAAGACATTTGGCCAAATTGATTGATTTTTACAAATAATGTGTTCTGGAGATCATAAATGTAACCTTCTTCATGTTTGGGTTTTGTTTTCTTTTCTTAAAACAGTATACTTGGTACTTCCCTGGTGTCGCAGTGGTTAAGAATCCGCCTGCCAATGCAAGGGACACGGGTTCGATCCACGGTCTGGGAAGATCCCACATACCGCGGAACAACTAAGCCCGCAGGTCACAACTACTGAGCCCATGTGCCACAACTACTGAAGCTCGCGCGCCGCAGCAAAGAGCCCCTGCTCGCCGCAACTAGAGAAAGCCTGAGCACAGCAACAAAGACCCAACGCAGCCAAAAATAAGTAAATAAAATTAAAAAACAAAACAGTATACTTGACCCTTAGCACCACTCCCCCACCTTTCAGAGAAAAGAGAAAAAAAAAAAGGAAAAGGAAATTACATTAAACAGATTACTTTCATCTTGATGTCTTGTTTTGAGCTTGGAAGAATGAACATGATTAGTACAATTAAGGGTGAGATCAATATAAATATGGGAAAACAGGAAGGAGATTAAATCAAATTAGCATAAGATACTAATTTGGATTTTTTTTAATCCCTTATAGGAAGTTAATTAGATGCTACTCTAAGGTAAAATGGTTACTTGAATCTTTGAGACAAACCTATTTCAAAACAACAGTTTCTAAACAATAACAAAAAAAGACAAAAAAATTAAAGGAAGAAAGTAAATACCCATTCTACACATATACTAAAATCAGCTCCTGGTCCTGGGTTTGTGCGAAGATGTACTTATCTGATTGCTTGGCTTTTAAATTAATTTTAATTCCACTGAAATTTTAATTTAATACTTGCTTAGATGAACATTCACATGTTAGAATTCCATGACATCAGGAATTAATGCCCCTGCCCAGAATCTATAGATACCGCAAAATTAGACAATTTCAATATGAAACAAAGTTAATAGCCCCAATCCTAAATTTTGTGAATCCAGTTTTCACGAAAACTTAAATGAAAAGCAGTATCTTCATAACTGTCATCTTGTTCAGACTGATGTTTATTTAGGTCTGCATTTTGTTTCATAAAATATACCTTTTTATATTTTCAAATCCCATCCAACTTTGTTTCTAAAATTTCAACTCAGAAAGCAGTATCCTCCACCTAAATTCAAAAACACTTCTGAAAAAATTTCAACACTGTACTTGCCCTTAATTCTCTCCTTCTAAACCTTGTTTCTTGATAGGTCACAAATTTAATATTTACTAATAAAGTTACTGACATTCTTTGAGGCATTATGTATAAAGATCCCTTATTGGTTTTTGGATCTTAACACACAGCGGGATGATGGTTTTCAGGAAAGAAAGCTAGTTTTAGATATTTTAATAGGTATTCTAAGTTGAAATATTTTATAGCTGAACTGGGAAGTTAAAAAATAAGCTCTTTGAATATCCTCATACTTTAACACCCAGTTCGGAAGTTACCTATTCCAAAAATCTTCCTTGCTTCCTAGAGCCAGAAAAAATCCTTTCTTGCTCCTGAGGGTTTTGCATTTTTTTGATACCTTACATCAAATTCTGCCTCATAATGTGGTTTCTTGAGAATGTCTCTTCTCTTTTGGTTGGCAAACTCCTAAAGGGTGGGATTATATTTTGAATTACTTCTACGCATGATATATTCCTCTTAGCTAACACATAGGAAATGCTCAACAAAATATCTTCTTGGGGCTTTGTGAAGGTAGAGGTTTAGCTAGCAGTTCACTCTGTTATTTTTCTTACCCACGCCAATCACACCTCTTCACTGAGATTAATGAAATCAACGATGTCTGAAAGAGTATCACCTTATGACTCACCCCACTTGGTTTGAATCAATACGTGAATTGATTGTTGTACCCAGAGCTCTTTAGAACTCTCAGCGATCAAGTTGAGAGAATCAGCTCCCAAAAGTAGGCCAGAACCTCCCCCCTCCCCCCTATTCCTTAAACTTCTCACTCAGTGATGCTCCCACGCTCTCACACCCACCGTGAAGACTCAAGCTGTCAAATTACTTGCTGCGTACCTAGCGGCGATGGAGACACAACGGGTTTGCTAAGAGCTCTAGGTCACGGCCCCTGTGTTAAGCCTGCAAACAGATCCTTCAGGGTGGGATCCCCGCCCCGAAACATTTCTAACCAGTTAGCCGGGCCCCAGCCTCACGACTCCCCGCACAACCCCTTTTCCCTTCGTCCTGCAGTTTCCGTCCTGCGACAGTCCCGTGGTGCTCCCAACATTTGGGTTAGTTCAAGGACTCGGGGCGGGAGAGCGCACGCTGTGGGCAAAGGCACGGAGGGTGAGGCGAGCACCAGGGGGTCTGCCTCCGGCCCCCGAGGACACGGACAGGGCCCAGCGCGGAGAGGGGCCCACCAGGCGTGAGTGCAGGGCGGGCCCGGGCTCTCCCCCGGCCTCGGGCTCGCTGACGGAGGCGCTGTGGGAGTTGGAAACGTCCGGGAGCCCACGACATCCGCCCTGCGGGTCAGGGCCCCAGAAGCCGGCGGGGGACCCCCCTCCGCGGAGCTCTCCGAGGTGCCGGCAGGGTAACCCCTGAGGCGAAAGGAAGGCACTTCGAGCGCACTGGCCGGATAGGAGAGGAGAGGAGGGACTGCCCGGCCCCACCGGCCCCTCACCTTCATGGCCGCGACCGCCGCTTCTGGGTCGGCTCTGCCGAGGAATTCAGCACCATAGCAGGACCTACCACAACCACCTTCCTTCCTTCTGGGCGGCGATACTGAGGCTCCCGAGGCGACCCAGCGTCCAGACGTAAGGGGCGTGGTCACGCCCGCCGCGCGCCCCCGGGAAGAGCGCCGAGCGGCGGCCGACTCGGCCAATCCGGAGCTGACACTCGGGGGGCCGGTCACCAAAGCCAATGAAGTGGCGGGAATGGGGCGGGGCCTCCGTCGCAGCCTGGAAGGCCGAGAAAGAATCCATTCCGCCCCAAGCAGAGATGGGCGGGTCTGGGCGTGGCGGGAGTCACCGAGCGGTTTTCTCCGCGGTTTTCTCCGCTGGATCGCTGAACTTGGAGTCAGCGTACCCTGCAGGAAACTGCAGCAGAGATCTGGGTTCAGGGCTGGGTGGTCAAGTTCCCCTGGAGATGAGGGCGGGAAGGGGCATGGTAAATTTGAAAACGCCGGTTGGTTGGAACTTTTTTGTTATAGCGGTCAAAGCAGGGCCTCGGATTTCCTCCCCAGACATTCACGCCTCTCACAGTCCGTAATGACCTCAGGTCTCCTCTCTGGAGGGTCCGGTAAGCAGTGGCAGCTGCGCACGCAAGGACGCGGCTTTAAAAAACGTTTTATTGAAAACACTTGAAGAACCAACGGTTCTCAAATCCCAGCTGCTCTTTTAGAGCGACATAACAAAATAACCAAATCCTAGCACGGTGAGAGAATTAGGGTGAGCCCTTGGAGTTGACTTTATTTGGACAGAGAAAATTAGTTTGTAAATTAAAGTGCCGATTTCTTCAGGCTGACCTGATGACACTCCGTTGGTTTTCCGATACTTCTTCCTCTCCTCTCTTAACTCAACCAGTACTTAAATAAATATTTAAGTAGAGAAAGAGATATGAAGATGTCAATTCACGTCTCATGAGAACCTGACTGTTCTATTCCTTTTGAATAGATTTGCTTATATGTACTATGTCAGTTTAAAACACAAAGCCACCCCACTTCCTTAGACTGCAATAATACTTGGGGTTTTTTGTTTATTTATTTTTATTTCTTTATTTTTTCTGCTGCGTTGGGTCTTTGTTGCTGTGCACGGGCTTTCTCTAGTTGCGGTGAGCGGGGGCTACTCTTCCTCGCGGTGCGTGGGCTTCTCATTGCGGTGGCTTCTCTTATTTCGGAGCACGGGCTCTAGGTGCACGGCCTTCAGTAGTTGGAGCACGCGGGCTTGGTAGTTGCAGTGTGCTGGCTTAGTTGCTCCAGAGCATGCGGGATCTTCCTGGACCAGGGCTCGAACCTGTGTCCCCTGTACTGGCAGGCAGATTCTTACCCACCGCGCCACCAGGGAAGCCCAATACTTGTTTTTTAGCTTACTTATTTTTCTTGCTTCAAGCATTGCTCAGATAATATAATTTAACATCTATAGTCCTGGATTTTCTTCTTTGGAAAAATGCAAAGAAAGCCTTTCATTCACCATGTGGGAGCAGCAGCTGAGCCATAATGGAAGAAAAAGTACTAATTCTTCTAATGATCCAGGCACAAAGAAACTCAATAAACACTTGGTGGTGGTACAAAGTCATATTTCTCCCTCATTAGAAAGGAAGCTGGCAGGTCTACCTGAAGAGTTAACGATTAAGGACATGAAAAGATGCTCAACATCATTAGTCATCAGGGAAATGCAAATTAAAACCATGAAATACGACTTCACATCCACTAGGATGGCTAAAATAAAAAAAATAATAAATGCTGTTAAGGATGTGGAGAAATTGGAACCTTAATTACATTGCTGGTGGAACGCTAAAACGGTGGATCTGCTTTGGAAAGCAGTCTGGCAGTTCCTCAAAATATTAAACATAGAATTACCATATGACCCCACAATTCTACTCCTAGGTGTAAAAACCTAAGAGAAATGAAGATGTATGTCCATCAAAAAGCCTTATACATAAACGTTCATAGTGGCATAATCACAATAGTCAAAAAGTGGAAACAACCCAAGTGTCCATTATTTGATGAATAGATAAATAAAATATGGTCTATCCATACAATGGAAAATTATTTAGCCAAAATAGGAATGAAGTACTAATATCTGTTATAATGTGAATGAACCTTGAAAGCATGATGCTAAGTGAAAGAAGCCAGTTACAAAGACCACATATTGTATGATTCCATGCATATGAAATGTCCAGAAGAGGCAAATCCAGAGAGACAGAAAGTAGAGTAGTAGTTGCTTAGGGTTGAGGGGGTTAGGGGGAAATGCTAATGGGCCCAGGGGTTTCTTTTGGGGGGCAATGAAAATGTTCTAAAACTTATTGTGGTGATGGTTGCCCAACTCTGTAAATACACTAAAAACTATTGAATTGTACAATTTAAATGAGTGAACTGTATGTGAATTATATCTCAATAAAGCTATAATCATAATAAAGATATTGAAAATCAGCACCAAAAAAAAAAAGTTAATGCAGCTGGAGAGTGACCAGAGAAAAGCAATAAAAACAAAACAAAACAAAAAACCAGGAGTAGGGAGAGGTTGTATTGAAGACCATTTTAAAACTGCAATTCTTGAGGAAGACTTGTCTTATTCTGTGCCTAACTTAAAGCAAAGCTCCCAATAAATGTTTGAGTGAATTCTTTCTTCTGGAAGACTGAGAAGGAATATAATATTGAAAAAAATAAGGGAGAAAAAATTTTCAAATAAGGAAGTAAATAGGGTACACATGAGTTCACAATTGCTAAATACTTGAAATTGGAATGTCCTGAAGCTTGAGAGGCATTTTTCTGCTTAAACACCATAGTTTTTCAGTAAAAGAGACACATTATGTGATCAAAATTTTTTCTTTGTTTCAAACTTTATATAATGACACCTCTCTTTCAACTGTGTACTAACTGTACCAATTGGGGTTCAAGAAAATGTAGTCTGTTGCTAACATAATCATCAACAGCCTAATACTTTGTATTTCAGAGTAAAAGTATTCCCAAGATGTGGGATAATTTATTGCATCTAAACTACTTGCTTAATATGTAATGGGGCTGATCTCTGAGTTTGTCTTTTTTTTTTTTTTTTTTTTTTTGAGTTTGTCTTTTTTAATCCCTCAAAAAAAATTCTTTCATTGAATTCACAATGCACTCTTCTATTTATTTATTTTTTTAAGGCCACTGCAGTAGTGGTTGGAATAAGAGGCTGAAAGGATTTTTTTTTTTTGGCTGCATTGGGTCTTTGTTGCTGCATGCAGGCTTTCCCTAGCTGAAGCAAGCGGGGGCTACTCTGTTGTGGTGCACGTGCTGCTCATTGTGATGGCTTCTCTTGTTGCGGAGCACGGGCTCTAGGAGCACAGGCTTAGTAGTTGTGGCTCATGGGCTCTAGAGCGCAGGCTCAGTAGTTGTGGTGCACAGGCTTAGTAGTTGTGGCTCATGGGCTCTAGAGCACAGGCTCAGTAGTTGTGGTGCACAGGCTTAGTTGCTCCACGGCATGTGGGATCTTCCCGGACCAGGGCTCAAACCCATGTCCTCTGCATTGGCAGGCAGATTCTTAACCACTGGGCCACCATGGAAGTCCCATAATGCACTCTTAAGTCAAATAATTTCAAAAACCCTTTCTCAAATTCAAGAAGCAGCAAAAGTTTTATTAAAAATTTTAAAAGTTACTGAATAAATGATTTCTTTCAACATTATGTGTACTCTTTAGACAATAGGGTAGAAGAATAACAATTTTTATTCTAGCAAAAGATTGTCTCAAAGGTAGTAAATCATGAAGGACCATATGAGCCTTTTGCAGAGTTGGTTAGCAACTTGCTGTACTAAGCCATTTCTTATTTTGGAAAATTTCAAACATATATGAAGTAAACAGAATAGTGTAATGAACTCCCATATATCCATCACCCAGTTTTAACAATTTTCTGCATTCTGCCCTTCTTGTCTCACTTCCAGCACTTGCATCTCTCCACCACCTCCCCACCCCCACCCCTCATCTGAGTTAGCTGCATTATTAGATTAGTGCCTGACTCTGGTTGCCTAGATATGAGCCAAACAAAAGTAACTGAGCCTTGTGTCTGGTTTGCTATGTTGTTTATTCTTGGTCATCTTCACAAATACAGTATAACCATTTCACCCAGTCAAGGTAATCCACCTTCTTTGTGGCCACTGCTTAAATTTCACGACTTAAAAGACCAAAGGGACTCTCCATCCTCTTTTTTTTTTTTGCGGTACGCGGGCCTCTCACTGTTGCGGCCTCTCCCGTTGCAGAGCACAGGCTCCGGACGCGCAGGCTCAGCGGCTATGGCTCACGGGCCCAGCCGCTCCGCGGCATGTGGGATCCTCCCAGACCGGGGCACGAACCCGTGTCCCCTGCATCGGCAGGCGAACTTTCAACCACTGCGCCACCAGGGAAGCCCTCTCCATCCTCTTTTAATCTGAGTTTGCAAACACCAAAGTTGTAGATAGGTCATAAAATCTGCTCACCTTTAGAATGAAAAAGCATCTCTTCACTGGAATGCTTAATCCAGGTCTTACCTGAATCCTGATTGCCTGATCGACTTCTGCTACAGTAACAATGGTTTCAACAATACTGCACTTTAGCAAACTACCTCTGCAGCTGGATAACAGGTGGTTCCACAAAATCATTTTGTTCCGGACTCAGAATCTTTTTGGAATTCTCTCGGTGAATTACTTTGCTGACTTCAACATGTAACCCTCTTCTGCCTTAAATTTCTCCATCTGTAAAAAAGGAGATAATGATTACTAACTGGGCAGCTTTTGTCTTCCACTCTGCTGAATGGTTGAAGAATCCTGATATAGAAAGTGAGACAGGAACAGAACTTTAAACTGGTTTCCAGAGAGTAAAATAACGCAGGGCCATTTCATATTTCTTTTAACTAAGCTGGAGCACGTTACAGGCTCCCCACCCCCGCCCAGCCTGGCCCCCCATGCTCCTCCTTAGTAGGCAGAAAGGAGACAGGATTTTCTTTTCATGGCTTGGGAAACTGAGTCACAGAAGTGAACCCTCTTGCCTGAGGCTCATGAGGCAGTGATGAAAGTTAGAATAGTTGCCAAGTCTCCTATCCCCAGCCCAGAACTATGCTCACCTGTATTGCTATTCTTCTAGTAAAGAGACAGACCTGGCAAAGCAAGTTAATTCTTTATTAAT